AAGAGCGTCTTTGATATCGCGTACAGCGAGGCCGCGCCGACGCAGCTGCGCTCCGATAGCAGTACGCCACCCACGTGAATTTTACGAACGATTAAAGCCGAAGCGAGCCGAATGCCCGAGCTCGATAAGTCGATTTTTTTACCTGTCTTTGTCGTTTATTTTTATAAAAGAAGGATTACCATACGCTCACCTGCGCCATACCTGTCTTTATCTGTATAATCGTAAATTGGTTATTTACATCCAATTATTCTCCTATTTAGATCAAGTGTATGTTTCAAGGTGTGCTCAACTCTTGTATCGAAAATGTCGTACATACGTGACAATGTTAATACCAATAACGGTAAAAGAATTGAAGCTGACGAAGATTTTAAACAGAATATAAAAAATACGAACGAACTTTTGATGAATGAAAAATCCCAAATTGCTCTCGTTGTTATTGGGCGAAGTTAAAGACTATTTATAAGACTATGTATAAATAATCAAGATATGTAGAATAATTTATTACGCTTGCCTAAGAAAGAGAATATATTTGACTCGTCTATATGTCATATAATGAAACTCAATGTTAAGCGAAGTAAATTAACTATTATTAATGTTATTGTACAGAATGTCCTCGTATTTGCTATTCATTACTCGTCTTCGTAATGATTAGGCTACAATTATCTCAAAAGTTTTTAACCTATTCAAATTAGATAGAGAAAATTAGTGAAATATTTATCGATAAGCATGTTAAAAATTATTGAGGCTTTTGAAATTTTTTATAAAATAGGTCGACAATTTCGATAAATTTGTTTTGTAAATATTTAACTTTTAACTTCTTTTATAAGTTTATTTTAAGACTCGTTAATAAATCTAAATACTTATATGAATTTTTATGATATTTATAATCTCTATTTGCAGTATTTGTACTAACAATTTATTGTTACCCATGTTCTACATCATTTTATCATAGAATAAAACTGCATTATAAAACAATGTTTACGCACTACTTTACTAAACTATTAAATACCTTGGATTGCTGTGACGTTGAGGATAGAGAATTTTCTTCATCTAGTTTTTTTCTCACTCCTTTTGTATCGTTTACAATGATTTATATTTATAAGCATAAATTTCTTTCAAAATTAAGGATTCACCGATAATAATATTAAAATGATATAAATTTTAAATTATAAGAAAGTCAAATTTATGTTGGTTAAATGAATTTTAAACATAAACAATGAAGATCTCCAATTGTGAGTATTACTCCGATTACTAAAAATTCTACATGTTTTCATATATTTTTCATCATATCTATTACATATTTAAATAAACCTGTGTTTGAATGTTTGTTTGTTTGCGCGCGCGCGCGCGCGTGTGCGTGTGTGTGTGCATACTTGCGTTAAAAATTAAATTGACAATCATAAAAATATATGTAGCGAATTAAAGTATATGTATCTTTACTTAACATTATAGTTGTTTTTTTTTTTTTATATAATTCTATAAATAGTTTTAAATTGTTAATTCCAAAGGTGATTCTTAAATTCAAATTAATTTATTTAATAGTTATAATTAACAAAGAAAATTTTAACTTATTTTCTTTTATAAATTTGAATATCTAAAGTAACTAAAACTGCAGCATATGAGTGATAAAGTTCATTTTTATTTTAAATGTTCATAGTAGTAATAATATATGATATTAAAGTAAAATATATAAATATTTAATAATATTTTTTTCAATTGCAATACAATTTTCTCTCATTTTTATGCAAAGCTTTTTCATTAACTATAAATAATAGAAATAAAATTCTATTATATATTTTTTCTTCCATGAAACTTAAATGAATTTACTGCAGCCTTTGTATTGTTGTATACCAATACATCACTTTGTAATGTAGAAATTTAAATTAAAAATGATGATTATTATTATTATACAGCTACTCGAAAAGTATTTTTAGATATTAAAGTATGTATTAACAGGAAGTATATTGTTGAAAAGTCAAAATAATTTATGAATATAATTTTATAAGATTAGATCCAGTATTTATTAAATGTTAAGAATTACTGCACTTAGCTTATACTAATAGATATGAACAAATTTAATGAAAATTATTATTTGTTTATTCAATTTTATTCTTAAATAATGTAATTGTATTATTAAATTGTATTATATAATTGTATATGTCTGTGTGCAGTCTTTCATCGAACATTTTGGCATGAATTTTATTGTGTTTAGTGATCATTATTATAAATTGTTGTAAAGTTATAAAAAAATTTGAATTTGATCTTTTGCTCACCCTATATATAATATGTAGAATAAAGGTAAATTACTTATAATTATAAGATTATCGATAAAATAACAATACAAATATTAATAGTATCAAAATCGTAAATTGATATAATTATTTAATGCAACATACTTTTATTAGGCATATATTGTGCATAGAAATATTCGAAAGTTATTAGGGATTGAATAATATTATAGAAAACTAGTTGCTTAAAAATATTTAAAGTCTTATTCGTTAATTCATCATCTAGAACATTATATTTGCAAGATTGATTCCTTGCTTTTTAGTATTATGGCAGCATGTTTATCAGCTTACTCAAGTCTATTCTATAAAAATGGATAATAATAAAAATACTTTGACAATAAATGTTAATATAATAACGCAATATGTATGTGTTTCTTCTGTGTGCTTATGCATGTTTTTTACGCTTTAAATGGTAAAATTAATCAAAGCCAATGAACGAACGGTAACGATAATCATAGGAAGTAACGCTACTTAATGAAGTAAAAGTCCGATTAAAAATAATAGTAATGGAGAAATGCCGTAATAAATGAGTCCTTACGCCGTGAAAAGCCATCACGACTCTGAGCGAGCACTTCCTCGACTCTTTTGCAATTCGAGCTCCTGGCACTTCCTGACTTATCGCAGGCGCGCAGCACCAAGAGCCAACGAGAGAAAAGTCCTCGGGACCTTCGCGAGTGGTCGCTTGAATAATGGCCGAGAAGGCACCGCCGCCGACACACTCGACAAAGCTCTCCGCTCTTATCATGGCCGCGTCGCTTTCCTAGGATGGCTCGAGCCGCGCCGGGTTATCCCTTGACCAACGATGCAGTCGGCCCCGTGTAATCAAAGAACATAATGGTGCATCGAACGTAACCGGAGGCCGGTAAATCTTCGGGACAGGGGAGCAGCTGCCGATAGGGCTGCTTTACTTGCACGAGCTCCGCCCATCGGCTTCCCGCACTTTTTGCCGCGACGGCTGCTTCTGCTCTCCTTCGGATAGGCGATCCACGAAGCCGCTTCGTCTGGATTTGCTCGCGTCTTACCGCGGCCATTATTGAATGTAGCACGTACTCGAGTGTGCACGTTAGTCAAACGATCGACAACTTAGGCATTGAGGATCCGTTATCCTAGTACCTTCCCTATCTAGGCATTGCCCTCGTCACTAAATTCCTTTTTTTTTTTTACTTATTTTTACCTACTTGGTAAATTTTAGATGTTTAGATGTGGCGTCATTGAGTGAGATTACATTTAAATAAAACTAATTGAGAACAATCTGGCTAAATTAAATGTAATTTATTTTATTTGTTAGAACTACCGTCTTTCTTCATCGTTTACACTTTTTATATTACATTGCCAATATGTGTGCATATGCTTTTATTACTAATATTTTTCTCATGAAATAATATCTGATAACAACTCATAATAATATTAATAAACAATAATATTAACTTATAGTATTCTATGTATTTATTGCATTATATGAAATGTGATAGTTAACGATTACATTACGTTAGATGAATTAAATTTAATTAATTAAATTTAATATTCAATCGATTAATTGATGCTTTTCGTGTTAATTGAAAACAATTTTCGTCTAATAATAACAAGAATATTTAGGAAAATAAAGAGTATTTATGCTATATCGTTCAGGAGGACGAATTACATATATGAGCTTAATAATCGTTCACATTTTCAGGAATATATAAGATCCTTATTTTAAGCTAAAATTGTGCACTTTCTTAAAACAATTCAGTTGTACGGCCTTCAACTAATCTTTGCCTACCTTACTCTACATCTTTTCTTCCTATTCCTAATAGCGCTTAAATATTACGTCATTCATCTATTACTTTCACCAATGAAGAATATTATTAAATTAAATTTTCAATTAAAAGTTAATGAAAATAGATTCATAAAATTTTAAAATAAGGATACATATAATATTAATTATTATTAGTATAACTGCAAAATCAGTGAATTAAAATTATCTATCAAAGCTACTTGCTGGAAAATTATTTTTCGAAACTACTTGCTTGAATCACAAATATAAAAAAATAGAAAAAATATTCAGATTCGTTATTATCAGATTTATGAAATTTTAGGGAATTTTCAGATTGTATGTATGATATTGATTGAAAATAATCAATTACTTTGAAAAAATAATAGCAATTCTAATGAATAATATTATATTTAGACATTATCAAACCACCCTCAATTAATATAATCGCGAGTAGATCTCAAAATCTATAAGATCAAATATCAAAGTCTCAATTAGCGATTTCGTTCGACAGTGTAGATATTGTAACAACGCGTTCAAAGAAGTTACATTGAGCGTAAAATCTACTTGTAACTGAATAATAATAATAATAATAATAATATTAATGTTAGTAATAATAATAATAATAGTAGTAGTAGTAGTAGTAACAGTAATAGTAACAATAATAATAAGAACAATAATAATAAATCTTGAATAGTAATTTCCGTAAGTATCAAGTATACCGTATTGCTTGTGGAACGGATCTAAAGAAAAGAATATTCAATCGCATAAGAAAATGCTCATATAAGAAATTATATTGCACACTAATGCAAGAGTATTAAGCTGTGTAATTTCTATGCAAACTACAAAAAAAAAAAAAATAAATAAATAAATAAATAAATATTTCAATCGCAATAATGCCTCGTAAATTTACAGTACATATTATTACAAATTGAATGCAACATTACTGTTTACTATAGTAAATTCAAGTGCCAAAAAGATAATTTCTTTTCAAATCAAAGAAATTGATGGGGCGTGTAGACTTTCTATGTAAAGAC